TGGCTGAATCGCGTCTACTCAGGCGTGCAAGCAATGTCTAGGAAGCTCGGACAGTTTTCAGACGCGGTTTAGCCTCGCCTTTCCATGCGGGAAGTACGTTGCGCTGTTCGTATGGAAATAAGTATTTTGGAATGACAGTTTTGTGTGTACTTTTACACTGAAAGTATGCATAGCCAGTTGGGACTGCTACACTTTGCTGGCACTTTCCCAGTGAGAAATTTTTCCCACGATATCTTTTCGACATCGGTTTTCACGTCGTAAGCGATAGAAAATTGGGCCTGAAATCGACGGCTTTCCGACAGACGATGTCGTTTTGATGTCGTTTCGATGTCGACTGTCGAAAAGCCGTCGATTTCAGGCCCACTTTTCTGTCGCTTACGACGTGAAAACCATTGTCGAAAAGATATCGTGGGAAAAATTTCTCACTGGGTTTGGCACACATTTTGTCGCTTTTGGTATTATTTTGGCACACATTTTGTTGCTTTTTGTATTCTTTTGGATACTTCAAGTATACTTTTTGGTCGCTTTGGCCAGGGCCAGTTACATCTTTTGTAGTTGATTTCCATGCGGGCTATTCCTTCAGATGTTGCAATAGGGTGTTCCAGGCTATCTTGAACGGAAGTGAATTGAATATGACCATACTCACCGAATTATCTGATTCCGTCCAGTGACTGGTAGAAATTGTCATGTAATTTGGTTCGATTCTAACCTCTTAATTATGGAGGGGAGCTCTAAACTTGTCTGCCAGTTTGTCAAACCTTACAAGCCGTGGAGGCACGTAATCATCTCGACCAACCATAGAAACAGAAAAATCATCTTATTCTACTTCCGTTTTGGATTGCCTGGAACGCCACAAGTGGATATGTTACGTTGATTTCTTTCTCCCATATGAAACTAAGCGGATGGTTGATCCGAATTAGATTCAGTCGACATAGGTTCAGTTGCTCCATTATTTAAGGTGGCCCACAGACCCCTTCCTTTATTTTGCTTATACTGTACCGCATGCGGGCGTGCGGGCTTGCCTACCCTAGCTCGCCGTTGCGCCTTATGTCATGACCCCGACATGGTATGCAACCCGGCCGCACGCCTGCATCCGGTGCAGTATGAGCAAAATAAACGAAGGGGTCTGTGTACCACCCTGTACTATAAAATCACATTGTCAGCATCACAATGTTAGTTCAATATAAGTCATGATATATGTTGTATTCTATTTGTAACTCTGTTTTATCTTCTATCTACTGTTAACTGCAAACCAACAGTAGTGTATCTAATTAATGTATCTTAAACTGTTTAACTTTACCTTTTTGAATTAATGACATTTATGTTCACTCGCTTTCAACAACTACTGGTATTCTCTCCAAACAAGAGCTCTACTCATGGTATCCAAGTCTCAACGGTTTACTAACAACAATCTGTAATACTCCTTTGTATACGTCAAAGAGGCGGCTTATCATTTTCATTCTAGGTAAGAAATAAATATTTTGTGGTTTACTTAAAGACCGTCTCATTTTTGAGGAACTTGTTGCAAATGTACTTGGCACACCTGTAGACTTGGTTTGACATGTAAGGCATGCGCGGGGTAACAGTCTTTACCAGACATTGCAATCGCAATGTAGCGTCTCTGTAGATTAAGTGTGAGAGACACGCAGGTTATGTATCAGTGGATTTATTGTGTCTAGCTAGTGGTGGTATGAGGCATAACAAATTATAATGATAGCACATCAAACTCAAACTTCAATTTACTTTATTTAACTCTTTTAATTGTTGTTATTATTATTATTATTATTATTATTATTATTATTATTATTATTATTATTATTATTATTATTATTATTATTATTATTATTATTATTATTATTATTATTGTTTGGTGCCCTCGTTTGTTGTTACAGCCAGCCCCAGTCGACCAGACTCTGTATGATATCACAGAACCTCTGCTTCACTGCCTCTGACGAGGCGATGGTGAACGGCACGCCGCCGGCCTGCTCGCTGCCAGTCTTGTGGAACTCGTTGAGGGCGTCCCGCAGCTCGGTGGCCTCCTGCTCGTCGGCGTACATGGCGTGCAAGGCGATGGGGGCCAGGCAGAGGGCGTACTTCGCTGACTCGCGCAAGAAACCCTGCACCAACACAACAATAATGCCGTTGCGCCCAGCGTGTTCTTGTTAAACTAAAGAACAAGTGCTTGTTTTAAAAAATTGTTCATTGTTAAAATTTTCTCATAACAAGCACAATATTCTCAAATTCAGAACGAACATTGATATATCGAGAACATGCTGGGTGTAAACAATTGACATTAAAAAAAACAAACAAAAAAACGACAGGCTGCAAAAGATATTTTTTCGTAAAATTTTTATTACTGCTTCCTCATGGATAACTGGAGTAGGTGGGGCGCAAGGACGCCTTGTTTCCTCTAACCTGTACCGTTTAGGCCCTAAAGGGCATTTTTTAACGAAAATAAGGTGAAAATGACCAAATGGTATATTAAGCTATAAAAAAGGCTCTATATCTAATAAGTTGTGTAGAAAGTAAAGCTAAAACCACATGATTGGCGTCGAACAACAACCACACCATCGTCGGTGCCCCAGGTGCCCTAGAACATCTACTAGCACTATAACAATATGTGTTTTACATAAGAATCTGTCTATACTTGGCTATTAACTCGTCTCGAGTGTCAGTGCCGCAGGCCTCGCCGTATGTGTGCCAGGCGCGTCGCAGCGTGACAGGGTTTTGTGAGATATCGCGAAGCCTGTTACACGAGACATGGTCTGGTGTACAGATTGCTAGTTTAAGTAGACGGCGAACGTCTCAGTACAGCAGTAACTACTCACAAATTTTGTAAGTACTGAGCATTACGACCTTTTGTGTTCTTTGTAAATTTAAAATGAATACCGTAGTTGTCGATAATACTGAAAATTTTAAAAATGGCAGCTTACCGATACCCATAGAAAACTTGTATCACAGATGTAAGTTAGTCGATCTAAAGAAAATGCTAGAAACGGCCTGAGTATGAAAGTTATCGATAACAGGATCCTGTCGAAAACACGTTATATCATATCTTAGTGACCAAAATAATATTGGGGCACAGGAAACAATCGCACCACGTTCGGTTGTATGATAACGAAATACCAGTGCCTCATGCATATAACTTAGTTCTTGCATGGACTTTAGTTGCTTCGCTGCCGTTCACCGTTCAGGAATTATTGAAAAAGGTCAAAATTGACGAATCCGTTGCGTTATGACTCCCTTATCCCAAGAATCTACAGCAGGTCGTTCCATTAGAGCTTTCGCGACCGGTTTGATCGTCGGCTCGTAACAGCCGTCTGGTCGCGGGGGAGTTCAAATAATGTTGACTTGTGTAAGTACCTGAGTCCTCACCCAACCAAAGATCGCGTACCGTAAACTGTTCAAACGTATAGATGCTGTCCGGGTCGCCGATGCCTGAGGCCCTCAGGGTCTCTTGCAGCTCGCGGTGGTAGCCTTGTAGCAGGTCATCCCAGTGCTCATCCCTCAGTGCCTTGTCGGTGGAAGGCAGCAGAAGAGTTGCCACGTCCATCGCGGTGTGGCCCAACCGACTGAGCTGGAAATCAATGAGGCGACAAGCCTTTACGGCTCCAGACATCTGCCAAAAAGACAAATTTAGCTGCTGAAATACAGTTTTAGATAGAAGAATGTGTGAAACAAGATGTCAGTATACTTTTGGCTGAAAATATTTTTTGGGGAAATGAAATGATGTACCTTGTCGTACTGGAACATCATATTATTTGGGTGGCAGTCCCCGTGGGCAAGGCCGATGCCTGGCCCGGGCTCAGGAACAGCTACCAAACTCATAAAGAAGGTTTGTAGCCCTGCGTACACGGCTTTAACTTTGTTGTTAACATCACTTCCTGCTGGGAACCTGTCTTCAATAATTTCTAAAGAACAGGAGAAAAAAGAACAATGAAAATTTTACCGATAAGTACACTGATGGAGACTAAGACTCCTCGCTCCTCTCCTCCTTGCCAGGATTTATGCTGCGTACAGAACCCTTATATAAAGAATACTGAAAATATCTTCTTCAGACTTGTCGAGCTGACGTGAGGTAGCGTCCTCCCCATTAAAGGCATGGAAGTGTCAATGCCATTCATGAGACATTTTAATATTTCGTATCTTGGGCTTAATTATTATAAAAAGCTATGGGTGAAGTTCCACACCCGGGACGCTGGGGAAGCTGCGCCTTACTTTTTTCTAGCCCAGTTGTGAGTTAGATCCCCTTTAACGGTTTCAGCAATCAGATTTTTTTAGGGGAAATATTACTTTGGGTTTATTTGCAGTATAAAGACATACTATGTTGAACTTGGCAAAAAAATATCACGAGGAATCAATGAGAATGTCTATTGGAAAATGTCGGTGTAAAAGATAGCTGTCCCGTCAGTGAAAGCAATTCAAAATATTTTGAATCTGCATGTAGTGTTCCTCAAAAGATTACAAACGTACCGAGCGATCCCTGTATCATGCTGAAAAATTGTTGAAATTTCTTCATTTCGGCTGGATCGTCTTGTGCCATGACCAGCCCGAGATCTTTTGTCATTTCCTTGAACTCGGCAGGCTTGAGATGCTGCAGTGCCATTCCTGCACCATGGAATTTGGCAAGCTGTGAGAGGGCTAGGACAAGTTGCTGCACGTCAGGGATGGCGCGTCTGTTCGCCGTCACGAAGCCTTCAAGACCCAGGTCCTCAAATATCAAGCAAGGTCTCGCGGAAGTGCTTTCTGTAGTGTAAAAGCATCTGCACACAAAACAGGAAAGAGGCTTAACACAAGTTTTTTCCTGCAAGAGTGTTGTCAGTGGCACCTATTCCAGTAATTTTATTTTTCCCTTGTCTTTTAGGACTAAAATTTGCCGGGGCACAAGTCCGACCAAACGCCACTGGCAAGCCAAGCAAAAGGGCGGGCCTGCTTGTAAAAGCACATAGGCAAAAAAAAAAAAAAAAAAAAAAAAAAAAAAAAAAAAAAAATCCGCCCCTAACCTATGAAAATGCCTTAAGGTGGATGATTCTCCACGGTCAAAAAGTTTATCGTATTTCAAGACCCGGTATTGGATCTTGAGGGGAACGCCAATGGAAGTATTGGAATGCAAGAAACCATTTTTACCGCGCCCATCATGTGTCTGAGCCGAAGGGTGCCCTGCCCTGCTCCACTGAAACATTGGCAATTCATAAAAAAACTACGTTTCATGTGTACCTTGGCCAAGGTAGAGGCTCTTTAAAGGTGGCAATATTTTTAAGGGCTGGTAAAATCCGGCTATACATCGTCGCTTCCGACTTGAAGTACTGTACAATCGTACGTCCCACAACATCCGACAGTGTGGTTTTGCACATAACGACAAGCTTCTCTGCTGCTCCTGTCTTGTCCTAGAAAGAAAGAAAACTGTTGAAGGATGTAAAGAAATTTCATCGCTAGAATCAGGCTTAGTTTTCTACCAGCTCTGAGCCTAGCCGTCTAATTCTCTCCCTTCTTTTCTCTCGCGGCCATGTCGGAGGAGAGGTGTACCAGTGACGGCACTGTCAACATTTCTTCCGTCGATGATGACAATAAACCACGTTACACCAGAGTTATTTCCGTTTTGTCGTCCTCCGCATTCTTGTGCATTTCAGCTTTACCGGAGTGCGCTCTGCGATGGGCAATTTTAAGTACAAGGATACTGTAATGGTAGTGTCGTCATCGCGACAAGAAATGTTTACAATGAGTGCTTTTTCAATCACTCATTGTTTTGTGCTTTTGCTTAAGTGCTGCAGGCTAGGTTTGCTCACTAGCGCTAAGTAAAAACGAGAAAAATGTAGTTTCAAGCTCGTATAAATTTTAAAACAGTCCATGATGTCGAAATGAGTGAGACGTCAATTGGAGTGCAAACATTGAACATTTCGCTAACGCTTTGTTAACTTATGTTTCATGTTTGTACTGTACGGAGTGCACAATTCAGTTAAACACCATGCAAAACCAATAATAACCAACCTATCTTACCTCATCCTCAATAGTCACTCGGTACAGAATGCTGCTGTATCCATCCCCAGCTTTCGAGCCTTCTGCGATGTGGTACCTAAAATTAAACTGTATATAAGTATTCCAAACCGGGAGCCCTGAGTAAAGTTTGTAAGAATGCCGAAACTACTAATAAAGAAAAGAAATGACGGACAAGATTAACGCTGACGGGGCACCTGTATTTAAGTCTAAATATCCGAATCAAAGAGGCTTTTTATCAGAGTAATAAAAACAAACAAGCTTTTTTAGCGCTCAGTCAGGTACCAGTTACCATTTCTACATGGAGTTAAGCTAAACAATATTCCAGCAGAAAAAGTAAATAAACACTGTGAAAGTTAGTTGCAAAGTTGACAGGGAGATATTCCTTCACGCAGTTTGCAATGTTGCAATTCAAAATCGTAAAAATACACGCAGTAATTCAGTACAAAAATGTTGTGAATTTACGACAGTATTTTTCACAGTGGAGCAGTTTACTTTGTGGCTGTTGTGAACGGATAGTAGCCTTTAGCGATTTTATTAGGAGTTTAGGGGCAGGGTAGGTTTACATCTGTTGACGTTTGACACGTTAGAGCTGACACCAGAGGTCCAACATGGTTACTGAGTATTGTCTAAGTTTATCTGGTTGTGAAACCAATTGTTGTCATTGTCCCTGATGTGAGATGCTATGAGAACGAGCCACGCCCACAATACGGGGGGGGGGCGCAGGATATAGCAGGGATAGCAGAGATAGCGTCAGCGGCAGAAGAGAGGAAAGAAGACGAGAATGAGAGAATATGAGGTTCAGAGTATAGGAAAGGGGGGGGGGGGGATAAGGTGCCGGCGTTAGGAAGTGAAGGAGTACTGTACTGGCTCACAAGTTATACTTGCTTTGGTTGTTTGAAGCCATGCTCTGCGCTGACGTCGGCGAGGGCCTCGTGGACCACGCTTGGCGCGCTGACGGACGCGGCGGCGGTCATGGTCGCTGGTGCACTGAGAGCCCGGCCGGGCCGTGGCTAAATATAATAGGCGTGTGGGGGCCCCGTGGGGGGGAGCCGGCGTGCGTAGTATCAGCAGGGCGCGGCGCGAACCGTTGTGGGTCCACGGCAAAGGGATCCACTGATAATCCGGCAGGTTCGGATTTCGTCGAAACTCTTCGACTTTGCTGAAAGGCGCTTCGGCCTATCTTTCAAACAGAGTTTCCAGGTACAGGTACGCGTTTACACTCCTCTCTTATTGCAGAGTGAAAATGCCACCGTTTCATGCAATCTTTCGAACTGTCAGCTGCAGTCCCAACCCTCCCTCCCCACCAACCTCCCCATTCCTTTTAAAGCAGCATGCAGCATAGTGTCTTTCCACCCGAAAAGGACGGATCCTTTTACAGAAAGCTCTAACCCTCTGGGTCACGAATCGACTCGTGTACGAAACACTAACTGATCAGTTAGCTCCGGGGAGTCTGAGGTCTCTGCGAGCGAGGCGAGTTATTACACTTTCATGAGATCAGCAATCAATTGTGAACTGCGAAAGTGGCAAATAAAAAACTGGTTTTAGTAATTTGGATTTAGGCATCATTGAGTATTAGGTTGTGGTTCTTTCTTTCAAAACTAAATAACCTGGAGAGAGAGAAAGAGAGAGAGAGAGAGAGAGAAAGAGAGAGACGGAGACGGGCGTGGGAAAGGGCGGTCTCGGCGGTAAGGGCTTTACCAGGATTTGGCTGATACCAAGCCGAATAACAAGTATAGGCGGAAGCTGTTGCTGGGGGCCAAAGCATTCTTAAAATTGCTTCATTGTGTTTCTCGCTCTTGTTTATTATTTCGTTCTAACAAGCACAAATCGTACTTCATATCACTAGCGCATGAAGCCATGTGTACAAAACTGCACAACTGTGTATGAATCAGTGCATGCTCAACCGAGGGGCAAGAACTCCAGGAATCGCGTGTTCACCTGCCTAAGAATCATGAGGATAAATATTAATCGAAATCAACAGAAATCGCTTAAACTAAGCGGGAAACGAAGTGGTATAAATTAGTCGAAACCAGCGTTTCCTACCGCTAGAAAACCTAAGGAATAAATATAAGCGGACGGGAATCACTAGAAATCAAGTATTTCGCGAATAACTGTGTGCACACTGTCAAAAGGGAATTATTGCCCCCCGTGCTCAACCAGGCACGATTGTGATTTGTATCATACACAGCACAATAGAGCGCTTAGTCTCTTTAGGCATACGGAAAAAAAGTTAGCTGCTCCAGCTTAACATTGGGTATGCGAGCCAAATGTTAGCTGCGTAGAGGACAGACAAGAAAATTAGGAACAATAGCTTATAATTCGTTGCGTAAGCTAAATCTGTGACTGTCGCAGACAAAGCGTTCCCTGTAGTTACCCAACTGCAGTAGTTGTCCGAGCGAATGCGAAATTCATTTGTGATACCATTCTCTCGGACAACTAATGCAGTTGGGCAACTTCAGGGAACGCTTTATCTGCGACAGTCACAGATTAGCTGACGCAACGAATTATAAGCTATTGTTCCTAATTTATTTGGCTCGCATACCTAATGTTAATCTGGAGCAGCCAACTTTTTTATCGTGCAAGAAACTTCAAGAAACCTTGCACATGTTGCAGATGCACGGATACCTGGCTTACTTCAAGCACCCCCTCCCCCCTTCACCCCTTCCTGAGATTTTTGGTGCACCAGGGCAGGGCTACGAAACAGCAGTATGTTGCGGGGTTTCAAACCCTAGGGGCCATGGCTTCTTACGGTTAGAGCGGGTACGCCAGGGGTCACAAAGCCGCGACTCCCGAGCCAAGCGCGGCTCGCCTGGCCCAGTGCTATTAGGAGTGACAATCACACAGGCCAACGGACGACTCCACTAGCTCTGTCTCATTCAGCCTATTGCGGACGAGCTCGTAGAGCGTGCGGCCTAGGCAGGCGCGCCATGGCAGATACTCGGGATTGCGACCCCTGGGATACGAAACCCAGCATAGTGCTGTGCCGTGGCCCTGCCATACGGTACATACCTACTTTTGGCGGTATTTGTTTTTTTCTTTTTTCATTTTTGCCACTACCTGAACCTACTAGGTGGTAGAAGGACGAGTATTGATCTCAGTGCAATGTAACGCGGAACGCTAATAATTCTCGCAGTACAGAATATGTACACTTATGATACTAATACTGTTCGAAACTGGAAATGTTGTATGCGTGACCAACAATTGACCTTTTCCCTAGTTTGACACTACTTTTCTAAGAACTCTTAACAAAATGCTCCGGTTTTCGTTCTAAGTCGATAGACCCGTGCCACACAACGAAACTTCATCTTGGAACACAAGCGCAGTACCACCATTCGAAACCTCGTCTGCTAGTATTACTGGAAGCAGTGAAGATTGTTTCGGTTTAATAACAATATTATGTACATGTAGATGTAAAGCAACTGAGCGCTGAAAGGGTCTCTGCAAAGAACGAGTACTAGTATTCACGTAAAATTAATTTTGTGTTTTCTTTCCTCCTCGTTTTTTACTGTTTACATAAGCTGAAACGATGAGGATTAACCTCAAATCTCACGTAGCCGCTCCTCTGCAGCTCAGCTAAACGAACTGGAGACTGTTGGCGGCTTTTTAAAATCCGTCCGCATCTTTCAGACTGCACGGTATCGGAATCAGAGTAAAACTCTCTCTACACTGTCTCCTCTACACCAAGGGACAAGGGATGCTCAGACGAGGTATCATGTCTGTCTAATATATCCTGTGATAATAAAGTTGACAGCCACTTAAGCCGTAAATGAATTTCTGCGCGGCAAGGCAAATAATAGTGGTACGACGACGAATCAGATCGCGAAAGGTTAACAACTTAACGTGTGACCTTGACCTACGCGCTCCCTTGGTCTTACGGTGTCGACTTTATGTTCAAAGTGTAGAACGCTGTATGTATTGGCTCTTATCTCGATTGCGGTGCGCTAACATCTGTCGTGAAAGGAGAGAGTGGTGGGGACAGCGATAACGATGAAGCTAATGTGCCCCAGTGACAGTGTCGCCCGAGGTTTCCAGCTGATAGCACCAGCATACGGAGCGCACAGTAAGTCTTTTCTATTCCGCACTTCTACACCCGACAACATTTTTAAAGTACACCTAGAGCAAAGGGGTACTCTCTAGCAACCGTCGTATGGATACATCAGGCAGGACCGGCCATAATTAACGGTTTTAAAATCTACAATCATAGTAATCAGAACACTTTTGCCTTAACTATATCTTTATAGCTGTTCCTAAAGTAACCTAACAATAATTGCCAATTGGGTGCAAAAAAACTCCTCCCAAAGAGTTCCCTCGTTTTTCTAGCGGGCGTACGTACACTCTAAACGTAAAAAAGACCTTTTTGTATCTAGCGAGGATGCGCTCTGAAGCACATCCCAATTGGATGCATATCTATATCTAAAATGGACACAGAAAAGGTAATTTGTACTGAATCTGGGTACAAATTGTAACTTTATATATACAAATTTGAATCCATCTGAGATATGCTCAAGAACGAATCCTCACTCGCAACAAAATTGTCATTTCCGATTTAGAGTTGACATTTACGATACTCTAAGAACCCCTATACATTATTTTTAGACGGTCAATTTTGTCTGAAGAAAAGACGTGATTTCGTGGACAACATTTTCTTGTACCAGAGCTCCTGGCCTGGTAAGCGATCAAACTGTCCTTCAAAAGCGTTGCAAATTTGTGCAATGAGAAATGATGTGCACGAATCCGCACGCAATCGTTTTATGTACCAGTCTATTTATTGTAAAGTGTAAAGGTCGTAGGCATCCTAAGGACGAATAAATGGGGTTCAGACAGTGGAAAAACCGCTCAATATGTCTGTTTCAACTTCAACCCTTGGTACTCGATAACTATGACTGCCAGACATCAGGACTCTTTCCCTTAATATAGATTTTGTCTTTCTATAAACAAGTGACTTTGAAATTTTAGAAAGATTTGATGGTTTGGCCTCTAGAAAAGTTGCAAAATAGTTGGGAAAAGATGTAGACATTTGGTGGTGATGAACGTGGTTGGTCATATATTGCACATATATTCCCTCCCATTGCCTGCAGATTGACACACCATCTTCGGGGACAAGTCGATGACTTAACATCAAAGTTTTCATAAAAATCTTAACTTGACTAAATTATATTTAGGAATTGGGATTTGAATTTAAGCAAAAAGGGTGTGCAAAATCATATCAGTATATGTTTAGGACGAACATGTAACACAAACCTTAGCGCAAAATGTTTACATCTTTTTGCACTGGAGGTCAAACCTTCTAGAACACTTTTTGTTAAAAGAAAGTCACATTTTACTGGGTGCAAAACAGTATTTTAAAAAAGCCGAATTCAGTATCTTTTTTGCTTGACTGTTCATTTTTTAGAAATCATTTTCTTTGTAAGCTTACAAACAATCTTATTTCTTTGTATTACGAAGCACTAGTCTTCGCCTTACATAAAGTATGTTGCTCGGCACGCAACGGGGCTGCCGCCCCTGCCCTGCTGAAACTGCTGCCTTAAATGGATAGGGGTGACAGCCCCGTTGCGTACCGAGCAACGGCGTATTAAAATATGTTTCGTTTCTGTGCTTTGTAAGCTACTAAGCCCGTTCTTAAAGAAATACATCGTATTTAAAGAAAATCCTTTGTAGTACAGAGCAATGTGGACTTTTTCCCGCAACCGACTCTTTAAACTTCTGCATACTTACGAAAACGCTTGGTTAGTGTTAGTAAGGTGTTGAAATTGTTCTAAGCTTTGTATGTGGTGCCCTACAAGCCCGTCCTTTTCTTTTGTAATGCGGAAGTGGGGATACTGTATTCCATTCAGCATGGTAAAAACGGTGTCTCATTTCATAAAGGGAAGTCTTTGTAAAGAGGAGTCTTTAAGGAACTCCCACATTTGAGGTAAGCTCCAACAATCCCACCTTAGTCTTTGAGGAATGTTTCTCAAAAAATGAGGAAAAACCCCACATCTTTTGAGGAGATTACCTCGGAATCTGAGGAGTTTTACTCCAACCAGGCAAGTTCCTTAAACTTTTCCCTTTTACTTCCAAAAATGGGGCATCGTTTTTACCTTGCGGACTGTGGGTTACTCATGAAGTAGTTGGGCACCATCACGGAGCCGCTCAGTTAGTGACGGCAGGCTGCCTCGCCCCCATGCCAGCCTGCAGTACAAGACCCAATAAAAATGTTTAAAATTAGTACAGTGACAGGCTGTATAAGAGGAATAATTATATAGTCCTGTCCTATGCCGTCCTGTATAAAAGGACGGTATAATTTAACGGAATCTCTTTATTTTTTATGTACAGAAATCTCAGAATGCAACAAACTACGGAATCACGCAAACGAAAGCCAGTTTTGTTAAATGAAAACAATATAACAGCGTTCCTTGACGAAAATGATACACTTCTTTGTGATTGTGATGGTAAGTGGAGCTGTCTGACCTATAGACGCAAATATCTGCTATCTTTCGTAAACGTACTTTGGTGCACGCTTCGTCGGTTGAAGACTTACCCGAGTTAAAAAGACTGTCTCGAGCCGAGACATTGTAAAGACATTCATACAAGGGCTTGGATTCTATTTTGATACTATGTGGAGACGAGTTCAGAGACGTCGTTTAAACGCTAACTTGCTGGCTGACATGACAACGTTTCAAGTGTAAATCTCTGATTTCGTTGGAACTCGGAAAATTTGATGGTGATTACAGTAGAGGTCGGATTACAATTAAAATTCCTCTTGAACCTCAGTTCCTATTGGTTTACTTACGCCTTACACTCTTTTTAGTCTCAAATATCCGTCTTTCGCCTTTACGGTACAAAATAGAGCAAAACGGACAAAGTTTTGATCCAAAGGAGAGGGTGCTACTCTGATGAGTTACCCCTTACAACACTGCATCACATTTTTTTTAAATACCTTTTTTTTAAAACTTTAACCATGTTATAGGGTTAAACTAATTGTGAGGTTCAGGAAAAAATTCAAATGCCTTCCGATTTTTACATAATTAACCTTTAAATATTCTAAGTTTCAACGAAATCGGAGATTTACACTTGAAAAGGTTAACTTGTGAGCGTTAGCAAAGCCCATTACTGCACCGACAGGAAAAATTTCTGGGAGTGTGAGATCGTGATCTGGGAATTTCAGCGTCGTTTTTTATCCTTAAATTGTACAATAGGAGATGAGCATTCTAGCTCAAAATTTGACCGTTCAAAATTAGTGGCGTGCAATGTGAGGGCTGCAAGGCCCCATTCCCTTAGTTACCTTTTAACTTGTCTCGTGTGTCAGCGTCAGCGCCGCCAGGTCTGCCCCCTTGAAGAGACCCGTAGGATGTCGGCTTTTTCCACAGAATACCAATAAAAGCGTGTTTATGTATAGAGTCGATCTGGTGCCTGTCCGCGTGTCTTTCTTTGAGCCTGCCCATGTGTAGAGTCGAGTTTTCCACTAAGTTGGGCTGGAGACCGAGGGATCCACTAAATAATATAGTTTTACCTGTGGTTGAAGGTTGAAGTCAATTTAGTGCTCCACCAAAAGATAGTCGACTACTTTTTATAGTATATTCTTTGTAGTCGACTATTTTTTTTAGTAAAATTTGAGTTGACTTTTTCTTTTTGTTCTATTTTTATACAAAAAAAATAGGAGGTGGGACAGTTTTAGGTGAGACAGATAATGCCCACCGATCTGCTTGTGCTGGAATGTAAAGCAAATCCTTCACGAGAACAAAAAACATTCATTTTATTTGTGTGGTAGTACTCTAAGTAAGAACATCGCAGTCTGGGTAGTAATTACTGTATTTAAATATTTGCAATTTAACTTTACGTCTTCCTTTACAGGCGTGATATGGACACCTTCAAAGATTATTCCGTTTGCCAAAGAGGCGGTCGATTGTTTCAAAGATGCAAAGAAAAAAGTTTTGTTTGTAACGAATAACTCGCTGCAATCGCCCCTTCCCAGGTTTGAAAAGCTGGGATACTCTGTGCAAGAGGTATGCAGTATGATCTATATATCAACATGTTGAACGTCAGTCTAATATGTCTGATCGGCTAATTTAAAACGATTGTGTTCCAGCATGATGTCGCTTACCCACCGCTTGCAGTAGCACAACACTTACGTAGCATAGGCTTGACAAAAAAAGCATTTGTGGTAGCTCATGAGCACTTTAAAGATCGTCTTCGAAATCAAGGAATAACTGTTGTTCCCGCCAAAAAGGTAAGCTATTATCGGGTAAACTGTAATACCTACAAGAACGTGATTCATACTTTTCATTACACCTATAGAAGCTTAAGCTGTGCAAAAAACGTCATAATGAAATTACAGTTTTCTTCTGAGACTACTATTTCGGATCAGATATCAATTTGTGTTCTCTGACAGTTATTTTAGTGTATAAGTAGTTGTTTTGCTGCTTTAACTTGTGCAAGGAAGTGTGTGAATAGCGTTCTAACCACTGGCGTTAATCATGTATGTATATGTACGATTAAAATGATCAAACTTCAAATATACAGTTAAAGAAACTGTAATTCTATTCTTAAAGACCGTCGTGTAACCAATGTTTTTCTGCTCTTAATGTCTTATTTGAAGGAGGAGGGGGCGCGTCTTGTTAAGGAGGATATCTTAGCTCTACTGAGTGGTATTCAAGATGACTCCGATATTGGAGCTGTCGTCATTGATGTTGACTTCAACCTCTGTTACGACGACCTTGTCAAAGCAGCCAACCATCTTCGAAGACCTGATTGTCTTTTTTTTGTTGGCGCGTCCGATTCCAAAGTTTGTCTTGAGAGTGGAAAAGTACTTTTGGGTGAGTCCGTAGGGTCTGCAGGTTCTTTGGATAGCAGGGCTACTTGTTGCACTGCTAGAACCGCACTCTATCGGTATACTTTCTGAGAGCCGTTGAATCCGTTCATACAGGTAAGAGGATGCTTTCAATATTAATGAACCTTTCCCATGTGCATATTTTTAGGTCCAGGCTACTTTGTTTCTATGCTTGAGGACTGCACAGGGCGAAAAGCAGAGGTAATCGGCAAACCAGGGCGCCTAATGATTGACGGATACCTGAAAAAGTTTCATGCTATGGATATGAAGAGGACCGTGTTCGTTGGTGACACGTAAGTGAAATTATCTAAAACTTACGTCAAAAAAGAGAACATTTGAGTCCTTAAAAATTACAAATGTTTATTTGCGTCTGATGAAGAACTAAGCAAAATTTGACTTTCTACCGTTAAAAGTGCAAAGCTTAAGTTGGAAGTTTGCGGCATACCTTCGTCAGTCACGTTGTCGTGGTTTGTGACATGCATGCCAACCACATGTTTCACTACAATAGAGCCTACTACCGCCATCCATCAGTACTCTTTACATGCGTCCCACCTACCTCTTCATGATTTTCCAGGGCACAACCTAGTCCCTGATAATTTTTCGGGCCCCACATAAGCTCCTGGCGAATTCCTAGGGTTTCACCTACTTTCCTGGCGGACTTCAAAACTGCCATCAAGTCCCCGATGATATCCCAGGGTCACACCTAGTCCCTGATGGATTTCCCGCGACTTTTGTGGGACATAAATTCCTTTGTTATGTTGCAGTTTGGTGCAAGACATGGGCCTGGCTCATGCGTGTGGAATGAAAAAACTACTTGTCCTTACTGGAATGGCAAAGCTAGAAGACCTGGATTCTTGTGACAGTGACCTCATCCCAGACTACTACATCAACTCTTTCGGCGATTTTTACCACCTCTTAAATAAAAAGTGAAAATGAAGAGGGTTTCCCTTGTTTATGTATTGTAAAGGTATATTAAGTGACTCTTCATGCAAGAAAATGTTCCAACTTAGCCTAAATCTACATGACCAATGAAGTCATAATTGGCCGAATTCCGGTGTCAGTAGTAACTCAAGTAGGCGTAGTAAAGAACCTTTGTGTTACTACGGACACCGGAAGTAGGTCATGTAGATGTCCGTTAGTGTATTAAAAATAAAAATAGTAAAACTGACACCTATTTCACATATTTTTCGTTAATTGAGCTTCTTTTGGCATAATGCTCTGAGCCTACGTTGTTGGCGTGTTATTACACCTTCTGCGAGGGTTGATACAATACAAAAGGCAGTAAAATTAACAGAAAAATACCAGTAAACCTATTGGATAAAATTTGATTGGTTCGTTGAAATGTTCGGAATGATTGAAGTGATATTGGAAAATGACTGGAATGTAATTGAGAAATGAATAGTTTTTTATACCGTACCCTGACTGGGCGAAGTGCGGTTCCCCTCGGTGTCCGTGTCCACTCTGCCTAGGTGGATACGGTTCCCGACTCCGAATCGAAAGGTTCTGAGTTCGAGTCTGGCTGGTGGACCCGTCCCAGAGATGTGATGTTCGCCAGTTCCGTTTTGAATATTTCTGCTTCATTCTGACTCGAGAATGTCTCCACGGTGCCTCCCGCATGTATCGAAAGCTGTCTCGGGTAATGGATTGCCAATATGTCTCGAAGTCATCTCGATTGTGACGTGTCGTCTACACAGTTAAAGTCTTACGAAGCAAAATGCCAAATGCTTCGTACCTACGAAGGATTTGCTCCCTACGAAGCGTCCAAATCCTTCGTATTACAAAGGATTTGGCATTTTTCTTCGTAAGACTTTAACAGTGTAAATGACTACTGACAGGGTTAGGTTTTGCATTGATTTATTTGGAACTCGACAGATAACAGTAAAAGACAACAATAACAATAACGCTCTAGCGGTGGCTGGGTACTCGTGGTTTGTGGCTCGCCGAGACCGCTCCTGCTCTTGCTGCCGACTAGCTAACCGCTCGTCGCGGTGGTCCGGAGCTATGCTCCGTTCCACCTAGTAGTGGCTGGCCGGACTGCTCGCTAGCAGCCGACACAGCATTATGGCATCTCAGTAATGTATGTACAGTGGCTTCTATTCCAGACACGAACCAGACTAGATAATAGAGACACTGCGACGATGTCTCAGCAGTGTCTAATTAGCGACCCGCAAGCATCTCGACAGCTTCTTATATACAGTCTCAAAGTTGTATCCACGAAGCCTCAACACTCTCTCCGGAGTGTCTCGGTTAGAGACATCCCAAAGTTTCCGTTTTCTGTACAGGTTATAACCTACTCGCAAAACATTCACATTCCGATCGATATGGGCCACGGTTGCCAGGACACGGCAAACAAAAACAGTTGGTGATGTGGAACGGTAACGCTTAACGCAATCGCCTGCTTCGTCAATGGCGTTGCATGCAAGCGCACGGGCTGCCTCGATGACGACCACCAGAAACATTATTGAGGTTGTATTACCAGGGTTAGGGACAAGTGGGTGGGAAAGGCAGACGCTTCCTAGCGCCCTATTTGAAGTTAATGCTTTACGTACAGCCTGGAGAAGAAGCGTACCTACGAAGAGACGATCATTACTGGTGTATGTGAGAAGTAACCAGGAACACTAACGGATCTGTGCTTTGCTGACATATGCACACCCAACTTAGGAGTGCTCTTGCGTACACTCTAATTGTAAAAGGACAATTTTGTTCATAGAAATGGAACCGATTCGTGCAAATCCAGAAAGGATGCAATTTTGTCCCTTAATTTGGACAAAATTGTGTAAGCCTCACACAATTTGTCTAGATTTAGGAACAAAATTGCATCCTTTCTGGATGTGCACGAATGGGTTCCATTTCTATGGACAAAATTGTCCTTTAAAATTGTCCTTTTACATTTACAGTGTAGGTATGTCGCTTCGTAGCGAGTCAGTGCCCTGACGAAATGAGACTTCACGCATGTAAGAGGACATGTTGGTCCAAGCTTGTGAAGAACTTCACTGTAAGAAATCCTGTGCTAAATCATTGCTAAGACCACAGAACTGGAACCACACCTAAAACACAGTGCGGACTGTGGTGGGCTACACCACAGGGTTTTTCTGTTGACCGGCTCAGTCTGTGACTCGTCTTTGGTTCGAGGCGTCTCTGTTCGTTCTTAGCTCTCGCTGATGACCCGCCGCGCCCCAGCAACCATATGCTGGAGGATTACGCCTACGTGTATCTCCGTGCACCCGCGCGGAGATTGAAGATTTTTGAGGGGAGGTCAAGAGTTCCAAAGGCCTTGCGGCGAACGAGCCTTCGGGCTCAAGGTCCTCCATGGCCCTTAGAGCAGAAGACCTTCTCCAGCGAAACATATGAGCTTGAACTTGAACTATTTGAACCGTGCCAGCGCCACTACTGCCTTTTATTACTAATTTTTCATCACACTATTTTACTGTGATTGTGAAAGCACAGAACTTTCGTGTGGTAGTTCTGTGGTTTACCACAGGATTGAGCACAGACATACTGTGGTAGCTCCGTGCTTCACACAGGATTGAGCACAGACAGGCTGTGTAATTAATTGACGCACTTTTTTCTGTGAAAATCCTGTGCTTTTTTCTGACAGTGATTGTTTTAGTCATGATGCTCCAAAGTGCTTTGCCAGCAGCAAAGGAAAATGTTTGCAATGCGAACCGATGCTTTCCAAGCATTATTTCGTAACCTGCCGGTCGGCAAATTTTTGCACATAGACATACGAGGGTGAGTTCTTGCTGTACACCACAGGCACGGTGGAACGGGGAAGGGGGGGAGGGTGCCCTACAGGGGGTTGAGAAAAGAAAGAGAACGAATTGCAGGCTAAAATATTGCGCTAGGCGGGAATTCTGACGCGTGCGCGCGATGTTCGTCGCGTCGAAAAATACCACAAGGGTGCGGCACCGTGACTACACCCCACCCTTCTGCTTAAGGCATGAATAAAAAAATAACAAGCACAGTTATCAGCTTGTATTGTTTCTCAACAGTCTAGAAACTGGACTTTTTGCGATTGTTTTAAGTATATCGACCTCCAGCTCTAAAACGAAACGAAGATAAGGCAATTTCAAGGACTGATTCTGATTCAGAATGTTCTGTTTCGGATATTACTTCGTCTGTCATTTATGAGGCCTTCTTGTACGTCTTCATGTACAGAGTGGTCATTTTCGGCGTATTTTCGTCGAAGAAGCACTTATAGCGCCCAAACGTGAGAGTTAGAGCCAAACGGCCAAATTTAAGTTCAAAGAACTCTTCACGAGTTCCTTAAGAGATCATAAAAAATATTACTGATTTAACTTTTGAACCTTTCCCAGTTTCTTTGATAGCCCCTTCCAGTCTTTAAGGGCTGGTTGCCAGGATTTGCGTAGGCGTTTCGCTTTCTAGGAGCGAACCTTAAGGTACCCTGAAAATTTCAAGTCACTAGCACAGCTCCTTAAGGTGGAAGAGACAGACAGACACGAGGTCGTTTGCATAAGCCCGCTGGATAGCTACTTCAAAGCAGAAGGGTGGGCTAAAAAAGGGGACAAAATGGCCAACAGGTTCATCGAAACAATTTTTTTAAGTAGGTATATAGTCATTGTAGGGTATTTATTTGCGATGGGGGGAAGGGGGGAACCCTGGAAGAGACCCCCCCCCCCCCTCGGTTCAAAAACGTTCCGCCGCGCCTGCTTCACCGACCCAGGTCGCCATGACGGGTGGTAGTTGAAGTTCAAGGAAGGGTTAAAACGTTGAGAAGTTCATATGAACTGAATCACCCGTAACACGAGTAGGACGTCAGCCCGTGTACGGACCATCCCCTGCGCCCCGGGCTGGGGTGGCATGCGTCCGTGGTATGACGGTGGTCCCACACTTCGTTTGCTAGTCCCGTGCGAATTGGCTCCGCCCCCGCCCCTGCATGCAAGCATACGCCTTTGCTGAGACGGGGCACAGTGACCACCCTGTCACTGTGAAAGATAGTAGGAAGCCTTGACACAAGTTGTAAAATTACAATTTGTAATCGTAAAAATACATGCATTACGTACCAACTTAAAATCCATTCGCGAGTGAAAAATGTGCCCTCGTAAATTTACAACTTAAATTATAATTCGAGGTTTCAAGATTTTTGTAAATTTACGATGAAATTTTTCACAGTGGTACGGAACGGGAAGAAAACGCGAGGAAACGTATCTGAGATACGGTGACAGTCAATTATGTAGCATTTTTCACTGTACCGCAGGAACCAAGATCGTGCTCTACGCTCACATTCTCATGTCGCGATGGGACAGAAGACACCAATACATCTACTTGTCCTGGTGCTTGTTACAAGCTACGCTGCTACCGTACCGAATGAAACGGCCGGCCAAACACATCGGCTGGCCTACTTTGTGAACAATTTCTCCAGTCTGTACCTAATACCCGAAGGGTCTTCTCGGGTACTTGTCCTCTGTCAAGCAACGAGCGAGGGCTTCTTATCAAAAAGACGTAAGGAGGCTGCTGGCCTAGCTAGACAGGCGCGACGCGTGTTGTAGCGGAACAGTATTGCGTGACATGTCGTGAAGCCTGTTACGCGTGACATGATCTGGCGTTAATAGAGCTAGTGTATAGTATTTAAAAACGTTAAAAATTGCCCAAATCTTACATATATATTCCGGTTTCTGGGAACGCAAACATCAAATTCCTTATTTTGACTGGGTACGTAACTCAAGCCACAATGATCATTTACATTAAGAGCGTTTAAGGGAAAGGTCCAAATAACATATTTGGAAAGATTCGGAAGTTTATAACAAGTTTATGACAAGTATGCTGATTTATAATGCGTAAGTGGGTGAAAACCCGTTCCTCTGAGCAATAAATACAAAAGGCATTCAAAACTGTGTGTGGTTTACAAGAATAGGTCAGTTGCTGTATTTAATGCCTTCAGGGTCATTTTTATCTAAAATGTCAAAATTTAGTGTGTAGCCTTCCGTGCATGGCTTCACATCTCCTCCCTTCTCAGTATATTCTTTTCGCCCATAGCCTGACCTTCGCATGCATTTGAACCATGTGCTCAAAGGTCGTGGTCACTAGCCACACCTGGCCATGAGTGATCATTCGGACCGGGATGCTCATTGGCTAAGTCTTATAGGGTTTTGTTTTGCAGCTCATGTGTTCGAGACTCTTCTCACTCGCCATGACCACCAGAAGATCGTAATGTGCCCGCGCAGAGGTGGAACTAAAATAGCAGACGGAATGTACAGCTACATTTTAGCAGGGCCGGCACAGGGCGTACGGCGTCAAGTAAACACCTATTGCTTTCAATATCTTAGCTATTCCGTAGAGTGGACAACAAGCAAAAGCAGATTAGCTGGATACATGATCGGTAGTCAAATTAGCTGTACGATGCGCCCTAACGAAAGAGTCCGATCTGCTTTGCTGCTGAACCAAAAGAGTCCGATCTGCTTCGCTGCCAAACCAAAAGAGTCCGATCTGCTTTGCTGCCAAAGCAAAAGAGTTCGATCTGCTTTCGGCGCTCGTCTACCGCTCCGCATAAACTCTATGATATCTCGAAGCTTGTGAGCGAAAGGGTATATGTTTTTGGGTGTACACATTCGTAAAGGACAGGGTAACATGCTAGTCTTTTTATGTTGCGTATATTCAAAATATACAAGGAGTTATAGCCCTCCAAAGATGCCTGACTTTCCAAGGCAGAAAAGCAGATCGAACTCTTTTGGTTCGGCAGCAAAGCAGATCGGACTCTTTTGGTTTGGCAGCCAAGCAGATCGAACTCTTTTGGTTCAGCAGCAAAGCAGATCGGACTCTTTCGTTAGGGGCGCATCGTGTAGCAGGTAGCCTTTTCGCCATCCTAAGTACTGGCCAGCCGCTACACTGTGAAAAATGGCAGGCAGGTTTACAGGAACTTTTTCCTTTACGCAAGTTGTAAAATTACAATATGTATCGTAAAAATACATGCAGTGCGTGTCGACTTAAAATGCATTAACGAGTGAAAAATGTGCTCTTCTAACTTTACAACTGAAATTAAAATTCGAGTTTACAAACATTTAGCTAGCCTACCTTATAGTAATACATATCACGAATCCAGCTAATACATTAGCCTCCCCAGCTAATTCGTTTTTTCCGTATATTTATATATTCTAATGTCTGTCACTAGGTAGGGTACATTCCGCCGGTTGAAAACCGGAGTGCCCACGCACGGCTACTGGTGTTAGTGTGGGACTGCGACAACGGCTCATTAAACAGTATTCTACAAGGTTTGTGGGACCGAGCCTGGGCACGGTAAGGTCGAATGCCATCAAGGGATTTCTGATCTAACGCTAAACAAAACACACGCTAAAGTTAAAGATTGTCTTCTCTAATGCCCATAGAAATATTTCTATGCATTTATTTTGTGCACTATTGCACAATTGTAAAGGGGCAATTTTGTTTCTAAAAAGTGAACATTTTCGTGCACTTTCAGACATTTGCAATGTTATTTCTAAAACTGGACAAATTGTGAAATTGTACTTCACAAAACTTAGGGGCCGTTCATAAGTTACGTCACGCTTTTTTGGGCAGTTTTTCGACCCACCGCCCCCCCCCTTTTCACAATTAGTCACGATTTTGACTCAACCCCCCTCCCCCTGTGACGTCACATTTTCCCCTTATTAAATCCGTGGCAATGAATTTCGGTCGAATGACGACATTGACATGCTCTAGGGACATTAGGGCTGATACAGAGGAACTAGAAGTAGTTACGCCGAAGTTCGTTTCCCGTCATTAGATCCGATAATCGCGGGGCTCAGAGCCTTTAGAGCACACAAAAAGCGCGCACCTTTCGGAAATAGTGAAGGTTTTGGCACCGCACGAAGTCAGTCAAAGTGTGACGTCACAGAGGTATTGACCCCCACCCCCATTGTCACAATTAGTAACAAATTCGGCTACCCCTCCCCTCCCCCCCCCCAAAAAAAAAACAACGTGTGACGTAATTTGTGAACGGCCCCTTATACAGTTTTATGAAGAGAATTGTTTCTGGTCTGGGTGTGTATATTATTTCCGTTTTGGGCATGAAATCGTCTCAGCATACCCAGGTCGAATTATACTGCTAGTGTTATATTTTCTTAACTTTCATAGGGTTAAATATAAGATATGTATACGAAAAGAGGATTAGAAAAGCGCATTCCAGATGTGATTTCCTTGTAAGACTTGTCTTCATTTTTTGGTTTTAGAGTCGTTGTGGCTATTGACAATGGAGACAACATATTAGCACTCTTCACAATGGCACCGTACCTAAGAAACGATGGCCTTTGTGGACAAAGTGGCGTAAACACTGTGTTTCTCGGAAATGTGAGCGTGGACGGGAAGATCGGACTCTCTCAGCATGAAGAGAGCTTGTTTAACGACGTTGTACCGAGGTTCGTTGTCTAAGTGGCTGAGAGATAACAAAGCCGACTACTTCACTGACCGACTGAGTTTCATTGGAATTGTATTTCTGTTTGCTTGTTTATTGTCTTTCCGCACGATGTGACTTGAAATTTTCAGGGACGTTTGTACCATAAAATGACGGAATTTAAAAATAAACATCGTAGCCCAACAATTGTAGAATTTTAAAGGCCAAAATGCTGTCCTCAATGTCTCACAATTTTTGCCCTAAAGTGAAGTTTTCGAGGGAAAAACACACTGAAAATGGGCACCTATTTGTACATTACGTCAAACAAGAGTGCTTTAATAAAGGTAGATGGAAACAGATCCCGTAAAAGTCGACATTTAAAGAAATCAGTGGAACGGTTCTTGAGTAGTCAGATGCCTGTTCAGTAAGCTTGTCGTTCCTAATCCTCTTTCGAATGAGGGGTTCCGAAAGTAAATTGGAAAGTTCCAAAACTTCGACTTTTAAGTTAAATGATAGGACGGAATAGGCATATTGGAAAGATCTTCAATTTCCTTACGACCCCCTCTTAGTACTATCATAGGCAGATGCCCAAGAGCGACGCTACGTGGCCAAATGCGAGGCTATAGGCGTAGTGTTAGAGGTGCACCCCCACGGTCAACGTACTGTCTTGAGCGCGGGGTGCACGCATAAAAGCCTGTTTGCTAAAGTAGCAAACTTCAGGTTCTTCCGTTTTTCTGTTGCAGCAAACACATATTTGTTTTCGCTGTTTTAGCAAAAGGTTTCGCTGTTTCAGCAAACAGTTTGCTAAAACAGCAAAGCCTTTTGCTATCTCTGCTAAATGTTTTGCTGCGACCATAGCGACTACCTATTTTCTCCTCTATGATCACAGCAAAACATGCAGCATTTAGCGAACAGGCTTTTTTGCGTGTGTGGATGTATCCCCTCCTAGCCGATCATCAGGGGCGATAGATGTAGCCCCTCTGCTCTCCCTATTAAAAGGGACTCTTATTCGTCGCTCACCTGAAATGCACTGTTAAAAATATATCGAAATTTTACAGCTGAACATTTTACAGACTTTTGGGAAAAAAAAACAGCCCTATCCGTAAAACACGATTTTGGTTGGAGCTGTAGTTTTACGAGGAATGCTGTAATTTATTGACACAGCTGTAAAATTATGGTGTGGCACTGTAAAATTACAGCGAGGCTGTAAAGTTATCCTGATTTTTACCAATCCACAGGTTTTTCGTGGGTAACTGCTTTGCAAAGTGCAAAAGTTGCAAAGAAAGTCCTCAAACGAGGAAAAAACTCACGATCAATGCATGAGAAACACGCTAATTATCATACCAAAACGGAAAAAAATAATAATATCCGAAATATTTATATAGTGGATTCTACAACCGATGTTGTAGTCTGACAGCTATTCTGTAATTTTACAGCGCTACCTTGAAAACGTAAAAAAGGTGTCAACGTTTTTTGGGTTTCATGGCATTTGTCGTAATTTTACAACTGCGCTGTAAAAATAGTTTACGACACCACTTGCCCCCAAAATTAGCTAAACATTTCCTGTAAAATTACAGAATTTTTTTTAACAGTGTGTGATTGATCATCTTTGCGGTGAATTTTGTAATAAATCGTACGTATTGCACTCAGTTTTTAGGACTTAAGCAGTATTTTTACTTTTGGAGTATGGAGTCTGTAATACGAAAAACTTTTTTCTGGCGAGAATTTGAAAATACCTGTCCTGTTTTTGTCTTAGAGATCTCCGCGGCTGCACGGTCCGAGTCTGCCACAGCACCAATTCCGTAGACAGCAAATATTGCAGCCTGTGGGATAGGCAACTAAACCCGGATTCTGTTGATTTCCTCAAACGGAGTATAATAACAGCAGCAGCCAAGTACGGCAATTTTCAAGCAAAGTGGTCAGATGATACTACATCACTATATAATAAGTTTACCAACGGCAGTTTTTCAGGTGATTGCTTCTGTCTTAAAATGTAACTAAGCACATACAGCCATCTCATATACAAGGGAGAGGACGAAGATCCTATACTGTACTCTCGAAGAGAATTGTTTACATATTGACGATATTTAGGTCAAACTAAACCAAAACGTAACCGAAACCAACTAAAACAGCCCCATCCCCATTGTTTGCATGAGAAAACGTGCTGTATTATAGGTAAATATATCTTTCATTGATGTAGCAAAAAAGTTTGCCAACTGATGATGTGTCTCGTCATGTCTTTTATTTTTGTTTTACTACGCATTGTTGTCAGGAGATCAATTCTGACTTAGGTGACAAAGGTAGTTTCATAAGTGGGCCATTTCTTTTCGACGGAAATTGCTTTTGCTCGTTTGCCCTGTTTCTGAGAAAAGAAAGATACTGTTGCAAAGTGGATTTGCCTTTTGTCCTTTTAGTTAAATCGTTTTGGTATTGCATCAAGTACAAGGCATATGCAAGATAAATCTTGACTGGCCCGAAAACAGAACTGACCTTGGGTCACCTCCAGTACAAAATAAACTTGCAGCAAGGGGAGCTTTTTTTTTACCCAGAAGCTATTTATCTTGATGCACTCCATTAGATACAATATAAAAATACTTATTGAGTCGGACTTAGTGAAAAGTATATTTCAGGGCTGATAACGATGCACCGGATGTCCAAAACGGATGCAGCTAATGGACCCCAAAAATATTGTGAAATGTGAGCCGTAGCCTAAGCCTCTCCCTGCGTGGTTTGTACTAGCACGCGATTGCGAGCGTAGAGAACGAGAAATCAAAATCTGATCCAAAATAAGTGCATTTGCTTTAAGAAAACCCTCTTAATTACTTTGGATTATTAATATCCTTATAGATTATTCTTTCCCCCCAAGAGGGAGAATACCAATTCCTATAGAGATATTATCATTCTTCTTCCGTGAAAAGGGTAATTGTAATATTATAAAGCATGGTTGGTCCAGTGAATTATTATTACTCTGAGTAATAACGAACAGCGCAGTGCTGTGCGCTCTTTTTTAAGCCAATTTTTTCCCGTTACCCTTGCAATATCACCGGTCCAGCCACTTAGGGATGTATGGTGTGGCTTTGGTCATACTGGAAAAACAAAAGTAGGACAAATACCGGTCTAGGGATGTTACATATTAATGTCTTAGTGCAAGCTCAATAAAGTCTCGAAGTCATAAAAATTTAGCACCGTTGGGCAGGTTTTATGCCATTCCGTACCAATTTTTTTTCCAGTGAACTAATTGAATCCTTTAAATTTCTTTTAGGCAGCCTGGGGCGCCTCCAGCGCGGTGAATGTGACTTTGCTGTGGGAATGTTTGGACTCTTGCCGACTAGAATCCAATACCTACAACCCACTTGCACTGTCGTCGAGGTATGTCGCGGCGCTTCTTTTGTTCGCAGCCGTTGTGGCCTTGTGGGCTCAATTGGGACACTATAGCCTTATTCTTCTAGACTGTGTCTATATGTCTATATGTCTATATGCACGAGCCATGTCTATATGCACGCCCAGCGGGTGGGTTTATTTCCGTACCCAAACTTGCGGATTTACCGACCCACACTAAATTCGCACAGCGGGCATGTGATTCTCCTCTACCTGCCCACCGGGCAGGGAATTTTGACCACCTATGGCTTGAAGAGTGGGGTTGCCAAGCCCAGGGTAGGTAAAATCGCAAGTATTTTTTTTTATAGCGACTTCCCCTTCTTTCACATTGAAGTGTAGCGAGAACTATGTGACTCAGTATTCTAATAAATGTATAACGTCACAGTCTTTGACTGCGACCTCACAGTGTTTGATTAGCAGTGTATTCGCGGGAGTGAGGAGGAAGGTGGTGCATAGCATTAAGCCACTTGCTCTGAACTGTTGTGGACAGCGAAGCTATCGAGAACACGATTGTTCTAGCAAGTAAGATAATGCTGGGGTACTCGGAGTAAAGTGTGAAGACCAGAGACACCTCCCCCCACTGAGAGACGTGGCAACGGTGTGGTTCGTGTCGTGTTTGTTAGAAAAACTCCATCTAGCACCTAGTTACATTAAAAAAAACGAAAATTTCGCGAGAACAGTTACTAGACCTATTTCGGATATAAACCAACACGCCGTCGCTTAAATTAATCAGTTTTGTAGAGATATTCATAGTAAATTCCCTTGGCAATTGAAAATTATTGTTCCGAGACCTGTGAGCTTGTGTATGGAGAGGATACGGACCGAAATTGGTTCAGTCGCTCCAAAAATTAACAGAACTCATTCATATGTCAAATAACGATAAAATCCCCAGCAGTCGAAGTAACGTACTGTATTTGATAGGTGACGCAGGAGATACACATTCGTTGCGAAGGTAACCAACGTAAACGCGGCCACCTGTCTACCATACTCGCAAGGCTGTGGCTATCCGGATTAGAGGCCTTGCTGGTCTTGGCGGCTGTCACGACGATCATCGCCAAGGTCCTCGTGGCACGCTGCTCGTTGTCCTCACCGAGAACCTCATCGTGGTGGACTGCCGCTATTTCTAGGTTCGATATTTTCTTAACGGTTTTCCCGTTTGTACGTTCGTTATGGACTTTGTCGTTCAACAATGAATGTTTACTTGCGCAGTATGTAAATTTAAGATTTTGTTCAGAACACTCTCATCCCGTTACTGACATTTTGCAAATAGACAAGGAACAAGGTTCATACAGGAGTAATACGGGTGTATGTCATCCCCCACTTTTTTAAAACACCTAATTTAATTGACAACTTGTTACTCGGACTTAAATTACGTAAACTCCTTCATAAAGAATGTATTGCAATGAGTCTTTGCATCAACATATTTGATTTAACAAACAAGTACACCATGTAAGACTTGTCTCAAACCACTAGGAACAGATTTTTAAGAAATATACTTGCCAAGTCAGAAAATTTTTCGGTTGAATTGTGAGTAATACTCACAAATTTTGTGAGTAATTCTGATGGTTTTGTCAGGAACTACCTAAAAGCAGCATCCTAAGCACTTCCAAATGAAATAATCAGTATTACTTACAAAGTTCGTGCTGACCCGAGACCGCAGTATACTGACTCATCCGACCGGGGTCTGATCTTAGCTGACGTGTGCATGACCTGACCTACGACTGAACGAGTTGAAAGTAGCCAATCTTGGAGCACCTCGAGCCGACTTGGAGTATATGTATGATGGGGTTCTGATCGCAAACAACAACACCATGAGGACTTTTGGAGATAACCATCCTGTTAATAATTAAATGTATTGTTGGCATTGCTGCTCTAAACCCCATCATACATATACTCGTTTGAAACAGAATTTTGCGACAAAAGTGATGGTGTTCTCAAAAATAATCTTACTTTTGAAGGAGAAAAAATAGTTTTAGAAAGTGTGAGACACAGTGGGCTGACAGTTTAAACTGTCATACTGTCTCACACTTGAGATTGCAGAGAAGACTGAATCAGCCAAAGACCAGTAATACTCAGTTTGACTCAGTACCCTGAATCGATTGCGGGAAGCTGTACAGCTACTGAGTCACTCTCAGTCTCTCAATTCAGTTAGCGTCAGTCGCAGTTCAGCTTCTGCTTTGAATGCCTTTGGCTGGACGTCAGCTGAGTGGACCTCAGTAGCCATAACTCAGCAAACAGCAGTTCGATTCAGTACAGCTGATCAATGCGTGGACTGAACCGCTATCCAGCTCCCCGAATCGGGTGCTAGTCAGTTCTACTCAGTAACAAAAATGTACTGCAGAAAGCTGAACCGTTGCTGAGTCCTGAGTCACGCTGAGTTTCTCAATGCAGCCAGCGTCAGGTCCGCTCAGTACTACATCAGTTACCCGTTCAGTTACTATCAGTTACCTCAGAAAATGGTCAGCGCAACGCAGCTGACGTTCAGTCTTATTTCACTTACGAGTTCAGTTACTCTCAGTTTAGTCAGTAATTGTACACGTGAGCGTAAAGACGTCAGTCTCAGGTTGGCTTTGAGGTTGGTAAAGTCAGTTGATAGCTTGATCAGCTTCGGGACAGCGTAAAGAAGTTTAGTTTCAGTTAACATCAGTTCCACGCAGCTGTACATCATTAAAATATCAGTTGACCGCATCCTCGGATCAGTTCATTTTTTCGCACAGGTGAGTATTACTTGCAACTTTGAGAGTAGTAATACTGTATAAATGAATTCATTGCCTGCTTGCAAAATGTCGCGAAATGCAGTTTACGGGCTGAGATTTCACGATTCTTCGAGGACCACGGCCACTGTTAAAAATGGCAACTGGTAATCACTACAGAATAATGGTCTGGTATTTTGTTCCAGTATGATTGTGAAGTTTGGTCCCTCAAATACTAGTCGAACGGATTTTGACCGTGGGATGAAAGTAGGAGAAGTATACACACCAAGGGAAGTGCGTGGCCTCTGAAATCAACGATATTGGTATAAAATGTTCACAAAGGCAGTCCAGAAATATTATTTCTGGCCCTACTCCCCTTACTCACGCGACAACCCTTGTCGAAGGGGTTCAACTTCTCGCGCGTCTGTTTTAAATTTTCCAATAATTTTCGAAGTATTTCCCGTGTCGACGTGGTTGCCTAGGCGCGGCCCCTGAAGCCAATTTTCGTGTACTTTCCGTTTTTAGGCCCCGTAAAGGACTATTGCTCGGGTGTTGCTGGCGCCTTTTTAGCTTTCATTTTCAATTAGTCCCATGGCAGCCTCTAGATCCGTCCAAGCGATTCCAGTAAATTTTTAATGAAAAATCAAGCGGAACATTAGAAAAACCTTTTCTTTAAGCTTAAGGTCCTAATGTAATCTGACAGTACATTTTCGAGAAAATTTTGCTCAAACGTCAAAATTTGAAGAAAACCGTCGATCCGACAACAATGGACCGCAAACTTTCGTTTGTCTCTTTCGATCCTACTGCCGTTCTTGTTAGTTTAAGGCGTAAATGGATTGAATTCAAACTTGAGTAGGAAACCAGCTTTCCCTGAAGTATTTTTTTTCCATATAACATTTCAGTGACAAACGGCAACGGTTCAAAAATCAAACCATTATTTGACGTGTGCCGTGTTGCGCATTTTTCGTGCGTCGGTTCTCTCCTGTTCATTAAAAATGGGAAATGGAAGGGAGCCGAATAAAGAACAAACGTACAAGCGTTTGTCGTTGAAAACGCACCATTTGAAATGGCAATAACGACGATCTTTTGCCTCAAATACGTCGTTTTTGTTGTTTTTGAAATGCTTGTGTCAAAAATAGGTCTGCCATGGACACTTGGTCACAACTAGTTGAGGTAACGATGCCTCCAGCTCAGGGGGTGCTCCCATCTACTCAGAGCGGGCGGTACGTGTCAGCTGCCTGGCTCATCTTTGCGCTCAACGTCAACGTGGCTGTCAAGGGCCTGCTGTCAGCAGAGATGGCAGATGCAACATTCCCAGCTCCATCGCTGGAGGTACAAGGACCGGAGTCGAACGAACGTTATTTATATAATCTGAAATGACGATAGGACCAGGACCATGTAAATTTCTTTGGGTTAACACATTTTGGGTTATTATGGCAAATCGCTCTTCCCAGTGTGATTACACCACAAAGAATAACTTTTATCGTTTTTCGTTTCACTTTACCGATATTGTACATTGAATATGCTCTGAAACCTCCAGGAACTTCTAAATGACCCTGGGTTCAGCATCGGGGTCTGGACAGCGCTTCAAGGAGTGGCATTGCTAGAAATGGGCATCACCGAAAACCATTTTACGCAATGCGAGGGTCAAGAGGGACTTCGTGATTGTGAGAAACGGTTCCACGCAGAAGACCGGTTCGGCGTAATAAGGGGCCGGGAAGTGACCGAGGCTTTTAAGGTAAAGAAACTCCAGCTTACCCAATCTATACATCATTGTTCAAGGTTATTCTTTACAGAGTAACAGAGTTACGACCTGTCCCTCATTTTAAAACAAGGAGGACATATGTTGTATTCTTCCTTCTCTTCTTCCTTATCTTCATCCTTTTCTTCATCCTTCTCTTCCTCATCATCGTCCTCTGAACCTGAACTGTCCTCTGAATCTGAACTGCTGCCTACTATTGTATTTGTACCAGCAACTGAGGACTCCGAATCACTCTCACCCTCTCCACTGCCCTTCTTGCTGCTCGTCACCATTTCCTTGTGCACCACCTACTCTTCATCAGTCAGGCTGTTCAAAATCTGCGACTTCAATTCATTCCTTCGTTTTGAAGTATGTTTGATGAGCCTTGCCCTCACTGAGTCGAAATCGCACTTGTCGCAGTTGTAGGTCCACGAGCAGTGGAGCATTATTCCTGTAACAATAACAAGACCAGTTTGAGAAAAAGTGAAATCACTCAGGTAAAAAATCAAACTTGATTGACTATGCTGACTTACTTATCATTATTGAAATCCACTCTGGTGGAATGAACTTGAACTTCTCCTTTTTTTTAAATCGACAGAGAATTCAAGAGCTTTTCCCTTGCACATGAGATCGCAGAGACGATCGGTCCTACATTGATACAGTTGCCATGTCAGCCCCGTTTGACCATTTGACAGAGTGAGTGAAGTGAGCCAGGATGCACCTGGCCCGCAGCTTCCCGCCAGCGCTCCCTGTCGGCTGGCCATCCGAGTGGACAGGCACTGGTCGCACTTGGTCTCT